AGGATTGTTTATCCATTACCAGATAATAGGAGGTCACTATATACATGTGCACAACAGGCCTTTTTTTATCAGTTTGTCATTGTTGTTCTCTGTACAAGCATTGTATGTACATATGTACATTATAAATGGGGTGCCTTCATCTGGTTATAAGTATTTTCTGTTTGGAATTATCTGCTTCTGCTACAAAGATGAGAGATGATCACTTGAGCATGAAAGATAAGGGGACAGAGAAAAGGGAGAAAATATGAAGCATAGTAAGTGTTACTGAGCTGCATGCAAGATAAATGACATAATAGAAGGCACCATCCTATTAGATAATTTTCTATTATTATTATCTGTTATACATCTGTTATTTCTTAAGTAATTTTTCTTTTGTGAGTAGTTGCTGCAATGAATTCAAATTATAACATGAATAACTGCAGATTGTATGCCTGCAAAGTGACTGAGAAGGAAGAGAGATTTTTGCTGCAAAGTGTGTAATACTTTTTCATGATTTGCAAGATAGAAGGGTAGCTATTTAGTACATTTTTTTGTAAAGAAAGGCAGTGAAATCACTAATGGAAAACAGCTCATCTACTGGGCCACAAATTATCAGATAAAGTAGGTGCAAGATGGTTTAAGATTAATCAAATTGTGGAAATTCCGTGTTTTTATCAACTTCATTTCTTTTCATTCAGAAGCAAGGTGCGCCTGATAAGATGCTTCTGATACGGCATCAGCTCTCTGTTTGCAGACTTGGTTCAGAGGAAACAGTGCTGTGTGTTGGAGAACCTGTTCTAACCTTCTGCACGGTGCATTCAGGGAGCAAACTGCTGGGACCCTCACAGGGCGAAGTGAGTAGTGCTGCCTCGCCTCTGAGATGGGCAGTAGCTCCTTCGTGTTTCTTCAGCTGCTCTTTTTCACTCTTGTGCCACTCTAGAAGTGGCATTATGGTACAAGAAATACCAGATGGAGTTCTTTACCTGGGCTTTGAGAAAAAGTGTGTTCTTCATGTGCAGCACACTGAAGACACCAAGCTGGAGCATGAGGATAAGGAATTGACATAATTGTGCCGCTTTTATATAACATGCCAATCCACAGTTTCTGGCACAGAGAAGCAAGTATTAAACACCATTCCATATTGGAGAATAATTTCTGTCCCATCACTGTAAAGTCTATTTGTGGCAAGAGCTAATGTTGAGAGAGAGACATGGTAATTCCTGGGCCTTAGAAATGCAAGCACATTTTACACTGAAGTGCAAGGTTTGCAGAGACATCCAGTATACATTCTGCTTTGCCTTAGAGACTTCAGAAAACCGCACAGAATTACGTGAGATTTTTTTGCATTTTTGTTGTGTTGGGAAACTTACAGCGAAGTAGAAGAGTTTCAGAAAGTAGGTGCATCTCTGTCAGGATTCACAAATGTAATTGTTCTGAGAGATGTGAGGACTCACTTAAGCACGCAAAGCGGCAGCACATTAAAGCATAAAAGTTGTTGGAAATGAAGCTAAATTGTTTGTTCTTTAAGTTTCTTCTCTACAAAAGCAAGGCAATGATTTATTATTTATGACCGCATTGCTTGTAGCAATAATTTTAAAATGACACTTAAAGCCTAAGGGCCAAATCCACAGCTCCTGTAAGACACTGGAGTGGCATGAGGCTAAAACATCTGACCTGGTCTCTTTCCAGTATAGGTTAGACTTGAGCATCCAACCATGGGCAGTTTGTATGTGAGTGGACAAAGAACATGAGGCTTTTGCTGCTGGTTTTCCATTGAGAAGTGCCCTGGGCAGGTGTAAGGAATCTTGCCCATGCTGTGGGAGCTGTGACAGTCTCCCCATGTGCAAGGAAGAGGGCAGGACTGTGGTGCCGGTTGTCCTTCGGAGCCAGTGCTGGCCACTCGCACCAGTCAAGCTGCAGTTGTCCTGACCATTTCCAAAAAAGAAGGTAGCCTCATGGAGGGATTTTTGTGAACTGGTAATTTCACATATAGTCTGTGTAGCTGTGGGATGGCTGATATCTTCTGACTACTGCTGTTCTGCCTCCATCCTGCTCTGCCTCTTAGCATCCTTCCTAACAAGGCAAACTTGCATGAATTAGTTCTCCAGCACTGTTGTAATGCTGAAACAGGGGGAACTTGCCAAAGGAAGTCTTTATGGGTTTGTTAAAAATAAACAATCTCTTAGAAGTATTAAAACTCAATTATGTTAACAATAAACATGGTTATGTCATATAGTTATATCTTGTATGGTTATGAGGAGAACTCTCAGGTACCCTCCATGTACCATATAGGGTATAGAAACAGGTGGTAGCATTCATGATTTCCAAGGCCAATCTGCACCATTTTCTCATTCCATATATGGTTGTTCTCTCTCTCTAACTGCAGATGCTTATTCAGCTTAGTCAAATTGAGTCCTTATTTGAGAGATTGCATGCTGAAAGGCAAGCACATCTATCTTTATAAGCCTGTTTGTTTCCATAATTAGAAACTGAATCAACAGTGTATTGAAGATGACACATTTGTTCATTCCCTTTCTTCTCCCTATGGTGGCATAAAGCACTGAAGCACAATAATTAATGAAAAAGACTGTTTATTATTCATGCAATGTATCTGAAGTGGAAAAAAGCATGGGTTAAAAATATTTCTGCTGACGACCATCAGTGGCATCACAAACTGTATCATCTGTTCTGGGGGGAAGAGTCCCAGCTTTCAGTCCATTTGGGCAGGGTGTTCTAAAAATGTCAAAGACGATTGAACTCAGGTTTCTTATGTAAAGCTCAGGAAAATGTGGACTGCATAAGAAATCTGGCTCAAGCCTCCTACTCGGGCGTCTTTAATGCTCAACAGAAGATGCTGACTCTTTAAGCTCCATTTACATGCTTTTTGTGTACTGTGGTTCTGTCCAGGTGCTATATCTTTTTGGCCAAACTTTCTTTTCTTCTACGAGGGTCTGCTCAACAGGTTTCGTAAGGCAAAGGGGTCACACAATTCTGTGTCCAGCTCTCTGTCCTTGCAGAGGAAGGCAAAGCTTTTTACACAGTAATGGGCAGAACATGCTACACTGAAAAATACTGCTTTACCTATTACTGTGATCGCTGGTGGGCCAGTATAGAAGACGAGGTAAAATACACCACCACCCTCTACCTCTTGGGGCTTATACGAAAGTCCAGAGAAAGACGCTCTCATACTGGCCATATAGATCTTCAAAACCCGCTTGGACGCAGTCCTGTGCCACGTGCTCTAGGTGACCCTGCATGTGCAGGGGGGTTGGACTAGATGACCTCTAGAGGTCCCTTCCAACCTTAAGCATTCCATGATTCTATACACTCTTCTTTTCTCAGGCCAATCACATAATTCTCATAAAGCTGCATTGTAATAAGCAAAAAATAAAAGTGTGTGTGGCCTAATAAATACCATAAATACCATAGCTACTAAATAAATACTGTGCAGCTCAAAATATGCTGGTGGCAGCAAGGTGGCTTAAATCCAAGAGTTGGATCCTATTCCATTTCCGCTTCTTATACTAAACCTATCTCTGTAAAGCTTTAGTGTTTACTGAGGCTTGTGTGGATAATCCACTTTAGGAAATACACTTGACAGTCACAGGAATAGTCCAGTTGTTGCTAAAAATGTAGGTATCTGAGAAACTGTGACTCTGTTAAAGGTGCTGATGTTCAAGTCCTTGATTAGAGCCTGCCTTTCTTGTACATGTTTGGCTTTGTGATGCAGCAGTGGTGTTGCCTTGCAGCAAATAAAGCTTCCTGGTTTTGCAAAGCTATCAACAGCAGCTTATACTGCGAATAAGCTTTGATCTTCATGTCTTGATATTCACACTCTACCATACTACATTTTGGGAATAGAAAAGTCCTTTGCGTTATTTTTAGACTGGCACAATCTCAATGACATAAATGCCTGCTTTTGAAATTAAACTGCTGTTAGCTAGTGCTTGGTTTGCTAATTTTGTGCTTGCTGTGAATCTCTGTGTGCTAGAGGATGAGCAATAGGAACATGTGCTCTGCACAGGCAGCATAGAAAAGCTGAATATGATTTTTTGACTTTATAAAGGAAAAGGGTGATCAATGTACAGCAGATGGGATAAAAACAGTAAGTCTTCTATACTGTGTGTTAACACCTCGGATTGCGTATTCAAGAAGATGCAGATAGATTTTTTTTTTAAAGATGAAAGCAGTATAGTCTAAAACATTCTAGGAATATAGAGAGTCCATTCCTAAAAAACTGGTGCAGTTTCAGTACTGTGGCAGACATACATTGTAGATTATTTCACTTTAATTCCCGTTATTGGTGAAAAATTGTGTCAGCAGTTTTAGATGTTACTCTCTTGCTTCTATATCCAGACTTAAGTCATGCTAAGTATGTGGCATGCACAGCCAGAGATCAAATAATTGTTGATTTAAAAGTTTATCGTTAAATTAGGAAAGATTCTCCTCTAGTGAGAAAAGAGCAAAAGTCATGGAACTTCTTAGCAGTTTAGAAGAAAGTTTAGAAAAAACATGGGAAAAGCGTAGTTAATTATTTCTCCTTTTTTTGCTCTTCTTCAAATATTGGTAAAGAAAGTCCATGGATAATACTTTGGAACATTTTTCTGGAACATTTCTTCTGGAACCTTTTTTATTAATTTGATAACACAATATTCATTTATATAAATGATTCATTAATTTAGCCCTTCATATGCTACTTTATGAGCAAGTATTTTACTTGATGGCATGCTACTGTTGAAGTGATGCAATTCTGGTGGAAATGATGGTGCAGGCTAAGTAGCTAGTTACATGTGAATTTTTTTTTTATTGTTATATGATTTCTTGTCCTTCCTTTGTCTTTTATTTCTTTTGGACATGACTGTTTGAAAGATCTTACTAGTTAAGTTGACACAAAGTATTTCCCTGTGTTAATACTGTTTTACATCTAGATGAGCTAATACTTCTTATTAACATTTAATTCTCGTTGTTTTACATCTAGATGAGCTAATACTTATTAACATTTAATTCTCGCTTTTACACAGAAGAACTCAAGGAGAAACTGAAGAAGTATATTGATGAAGTGAACGCCCAAAAACCAGGGTTCATCAAGGTTGTTCGACACAGCAAACAAGAGGGACTGATCCGATCCCGTGTTAGTGGATGGAGAGTTGCCACAGCACCAGTAGTCGCTCTATTTGATGCCCATGTGGAATTTAACGTGGGATGGTATGTGTCAACTTGTGTCCCTCTTATGAATGGTGTTTGGAAAAGGTCCATTGATCAATTACTGAATGGGGTGAAAAAATATTCTGATCTTTCTAATGAAAATTCAAAGACCGTTATAAAAAAGTATTGTGCTGTGCAATATAGTCTAGATCCATTTTTCTTGTGCAAGTTACTATCTGCTGCTGTAATTGTATTTAAACTATATTGCAAAATAACATGCAAGTGACCTGCTGTTTCTTCTTAAAGTATTTATAAAATAGCTACATCTCTTGCTTATTATTATTTCTGCTCTAGTTAAAGTAATTTTGGCATGAAGAAGCTCAGTAAGGTAGTCTAGTTACAGGTAAGTGTTTGTAATTAGGGGGAAGCTCGCTTATTTTTATGAGGATTTAGGACTTCTTCCCTTGAGCTTCTTGGATTCTCTTCAAATCTCAGGGCAATACTGGAAGTTGCTCTCCAGAAATGTAGAACAATCTTCATATTTGTGTAAGTGCTTGCACTTCCAAATAGGTTGTACTCCTAATAAAGGCTGTAAAAGCACTGAAAAAAGTTCTATATTCTATGTCTATTCTCCTCAGTAACCATTCACCGCTCCCCAGATTGCCCCGCAAAGTACTACATAGTTAAAAATATGTATTTTAGCTGGTTTAAATTGAGTTTAATAATTCTGTTGCTTCTTCAGTTAAAGAAAGAAAAAAAAAGATAGTAGAAAAGGCAGGTACTTTGTCTCTAGGATAGATCTGTTATTAAGTTTCATCTTGTTGTCCTTACTGATGTTATGATAGTGAGAGCCTGATGTTATCATTATTTGGTAGCAAGTTTATAAATGCTCCACAATATGCAGATGGTCATTTCTCCTATTCTCCAGAACACATCAAGGATATGAATAGGACATAGTAGATTAAAAATTTCAGTGCATTCTTTTAGGGCAGGTTTTGCTCTGTCAAAGCTCCATCGTAAAGCAAAGAGAGCTCTGAATGAGTAATAGCGACAAACTTCGCTGTTTCCCAAATATATAGCATAGACTGCTATTTCCATCAGCTGTGCTGCTGCTGACATAGCCTCAACATTTTTTCTTTTTTTTTCTTAGGGCTGAACCAGTTCTCGCTAGGATAAAGGAAAACAGAAAAAGAGTAATTTCTCCATCATTTGATAACATTAAGTACGATAATTTTGAAATAGAGGAATATCCCCTCTCTGCACAGGGATTTGACTGGGAGTTGTGGTGCCGATATCTGAACCCTCCTAAATCATGGTGGAAACTGGAGAACACAACTGCTCCAATAAGGTAATGTGCAACTGTGATCCAGATTTGGAAATCGAAGGAGATGCTCTTGTAAATGATGAGTGGTCTCATTATGTAACAGTTTGTATCAACTGTAGTGTTGAATTAGAATAAATATCCTTGAACTGTCCTTTGCAGCTTTTCTCTTTAGCCCCTGTTCAGCCATCAAGAAAAAAAACCTGTCTTTTCAGTAAGCCTTCTAATATGCTTAATTACTATTAGCATGGTGCAAAGCACATACGGAAGTGTAACAGCAGACATGAATGCTCAAAAATACTGCTTTCTCCAAATATTTTGTCCCCTAGTTTAGGGTAATGGGCCAGAAAGAGAAGTTTATGTACAAGTGCCTCATATAAAGGGTACAACTGTCAGACCAGTTATGTTTATAGTCGTGTCGCATAGCTTTGTAGCTGTGCTTTGTCATAGGAGGTAACGCTGGTCCAGCAATCGTATGTGAGCAGTGGCTGCATTAAATCCTAGAAATCTGGTACCATCTAGTTCAGTTTTTTAGACTGGTGCATTTCGATAGTCTCTGGAAGGGATTTAAAGAGGTGCATTTCTGTCTTCTCAGCAGCTCTGCTGAGGTGCCAGTCCTCCCTTCTGCCTCTGAATTAATGCCAAGGAGGTCACCGATACCTCTCCTCTTGCTCTCTGCAGAAAGTGTGAAGACTGCTCTCACCAGCAGCAGCTCTGCAAAACATGACTGTGGATTGCAGTGATGGCAGGAGGGGCTCATCAGTAGCAGTCAGTTACTTGCTTCCATGCAGTAGGTGCAAGGGGTGTCTCTGATCCACTAGTCCTGTCTTTTCAGGCTGACAGCTGTGTTCTGGAATTGTCAGCTGAGACTGTTGTCTCTGGACTGCACTAACCCACATGCTGGTCTTCAGAACAGGACTCAAAACTGGAAAATGGGAGATGGAAGTTTAAAGCTTTGCCCCAGACATGTGTAAAGAAATAGATGATAATTTACACAGCATTGGAAGTATTAGTGTTAATGAGTACATGAGTACACAGCGCTGGAAGTATTAGAGTTAATGAGTAGTGTTCTTGTATGAAAATACTCGGAAATAGGCTGCCAAGACCTTGAGAAGCAAACTTCTATATAAGATACTGTTTTAGGATATTTAAAACATATTTAAACTCTTAGGAAATCTACTTGTTCATTTAGCACAAAACTTTGTGCTAAATGAGGATCATGGCATAAATGTCCTTTAATAATACTGGATATGTATGTTTGTACCTTGGCCCTTTACCTGGAGCTGTTTAGTCATTGACCTTAGAATGAAAGTATTAGAAAAAGACAAAATTGGATAAATCTATTTCAAAAACATCTCCCTAAGAATCTCTCTTGGCACACCATTTGGCCTTGCAATGATAAACATAATCTGTTTCTGAATATTGCAGTTGTTTCTATCTGCTAATTTTGTCTGCTGCTGTTTTATTCTTCCAGAAGTCCTGCCTTGATTGGATGCTTCATAGTAGACAGAGAATATTTCCAAGAGATTGGCTTACTAGATGAGGGTATGGAAGTATATGGAGGAGAAAATGTTGAGCTCGGAATCAGGGTAAGAAACATAACCAACCAACACTGTCAGGCTGCACTTCAGATACATCTTGGCCCTTGTTTTTGCAGGGAGGAGAGTCAAAACTCTATGGAGGATGGCTTGCAAATGAGATGCATAGCTTTATTTAGTAGTATAGTCTGCTTTATTTGATCAGAAAAGAAAGAGCAAAAGCAGCCATATCTTTTTAAATAACTTACCTGGGATAAGCTTAGAAATACAGAATTTGGTATTACTTTTTCCTTCAACCAGCAGTGCTCGAATTCTGCAGACTCCCTGCTTACCTATGATCCCAGGCTCAGTAAGGAGGGTAATTTCTCATTGATGTAATGGGAAGAGCCTTCTTAGATTTATTTATTTATTTAAATTAGAAAAATCACTATGGAGCCAGCTGAAATAGAAAGGCATTTATGCTGCCTTCTCTCTGCCTCTTCTGGATATTTGAGATATTCATAGTGTACTGAAGTTGCATAAATTCTTCCTCCATCATACACTGCTCATCTGTTTACTATATGCAATATTTGTATAGTTTGCATATCTCTGTGTCCCTTCACAACTAGATACTACTCAGAAAACATAGCACTGTTCCCTTTGAGAATCTTCCATGTTTTTGATACAGTTCCTAGGTATTTAGGTGGTAAAGGAAAATGATATGATTTGTGTTACAAAATTAAATCCCCAAATCTGTTATTGAAATTTTTGTGAAAGGTTGCATTTCATGCTTTTTGGTTGACAGAATAAAAGCATACAGTTATATAATGGCCAAAAGAAGAAGAAAAAAGAATTGTCTGCTGAGACCATGAGAATCTAAAAATACTAATTTTGTTCTTCTGTCTTTCTAAAATTCTTTTGCTCCCATCTATTGGAAAAAAACAAAGTGTTACTGCAACAAGAGTGAAGGGAAGGTCTCCTTTCAGTTACATTAGAGCACAGTCGGAAAGAAAGGGAGAGAAATGCAGGACTGCTGCTTTCAGTAACACCATTCTCTTCACTGTGAGAGCCAGGGAGCCTCATTTTCTTCCTGAAAACTGATTTTTGAAGCTCAGGGTTGCTATGAGCTGAAAATTAGTGTCACTTTGGTTTTCCTTTTCTTTTTTTCTACCTAGCAAAACTATTGTTTCCATTTGAGGGGAGAGTTTTGTCTGGTTCTGCATCATGACATATATACATATATACTATACAATCCACTATACTTAGCTTTGCAGAAGTTGATTGTGAAGAGTACTTCGATAGACAGGACTAGGGAGACACAAATCTGCATAATTGAAATTTGGGAGTACACTGGATCACTAGACTAAGGCCCAGCGCTGCTGTAATTTCCTTACGGCTTTCTTCAGTCTCCAGGGAAGCAGTGCCTGACCTACATAAGATACTTTCGTGTGTAACAGCTTGCAGTGTGCAGGTAGCCTAGTGCCTGCTGCCTCATTTGTCTCTGTCCCAGCTTGGATCTGTGTTCCTTGCTATCTCAAAGCAAATTCCTGACACGTAATGAACAGATTTTTCAGCAGTTTATTACCAATTCTTCTCACAATCCTCAGCATAGCCCAGATGATACCAGGGTGAATGTAAATGTGCGGTGCCATCTTAGAGCTTCTGGGAAGCACAGTAGTATTTTTACAGATGTTAAGCTTCACAGGCAGGTCCCTTCCCTCAGCCTTACACTTGTGCCTCAAAGTGTTGGCTGTGCACTGCCTCCTGGCAAAATACAGGGGGCTGCCCAGAGTGGGCCGCCCAGTGCTGTGGGCAGCCACCTTCATGGTTGTGCCCTAAGCATTCTCTTGGCATTTTTGAGGCACTGCTCGCAAGGACTGCCTTGGATTTTCTTTAGATTGGGGCGTGCTAAAAAAATATAGCCAGAAGGTGATTACGGGCCAGATGGTCTGTCTCTGCTGGTAAACTACATTGTCTGGTCTCTGCAGCACTGAGGAGTCATCACTAGACTCCCTGTGTTGCTTTCGACTGCAGGGCCTGCAATGAATCACTTAATAAAGGCAGTAATTGTTCTAGAAAAGCTGCATCAATTTGCATTTTATAATTACAGTATCAGTGCAATAAATAATGTTTCCATTTTAAAATGGTGATCTCCAGTGCATGACTACAGATTGCTCACCATGCTTCATTCTTCACCACCATTTTCCATTTTAAGAAACATCTAGCTTGATCTAGTGTTCTGCTGTGTAATATGTTGGAGAGGCAGGCTGGTATTCAGGCTATTCAAGACATCAGGTGGTGTATCGTATTCTGTAATGCAATGAAGTTGGTATCTACTGAAGGAGCTGGGCCTATTCTACTGAAGTTAGTGTGTTACTGAGGGAGCTGGGCCTGTTCAGCCTGGAGAAGAGAAGGCTGAGAGGGGACCTGATCAGTGTCTATAGGTACCTCAAGGGAGGGAGTGTGGAGGATGGGGCCGGCCTCTTGTCAGCGGTGGTCACTGATAGAACTAGAGGAAA